AATCACCATTAAAGAATTATTAAAATTCTATCGCACATATCAGCGAGTTACTTGAAAATCAGAGATAAGATACTTATTTTTAAGGCACTGTGCCTCGCATAGCTCCAATTCCCATAAGACACCATGATTTTAAACAGCTAAATCTATAAAATTCAGCAATGAGGGGCACCTCGGTGGCTCAGTCCGTTGAGTGTTCCAACTTTAGCTCAGGTCAAGATCTTCCGCGGTTTTGGAGTTCGAGCCCTGCGTCGGCCTTTCTGTTGTCAGCACAGGGCCCACCTACTATCCTCTGTCCCCCTCACTCTGTGCCCCTCCCCCACTCATGCTCGCCCTCTCAAAAATGAATAAACATTTAAATAAAATAGGGCTACCTGGATGGCTCAGTCACTTAGGCGTCTGACTCTTGGTTTCAGCTCAGGTCATGAGTTCAAGCCCCGTGTTGGGGTCTCTGCTGTAAGCACAGAGCCTGCTTCAGATCCTCTGTCCCTCTCTCTCTCGGCCTCTCCCTTATGCTCGCTCTCTCCCTCTCTCTCTTAAAAAATAAACATTAAAACAACTAATACAAAAATAAGATAGATAAGTAAAACAATAAAGTTCAGCAATGAGAAGCTTCCTCTCTGTTTCTTTCACTCTCCATGGTCCCTGTTATACTGCCTTAATCACACTTCTATTAATGATGCCCGGCACAGAAATTAGAACTGGTTTAACTCTGACTATGCTACCTGTGACCCGTGTGACCCTAAACAAGCTATTAACTTCTCTGAGCCTCTGTTTCCTCTAAAGGACCCATCTCTTAGGGATACCGGGGGCATTACCAAATGCTTGAACAATACCAAATGCTTGCACAATTGAATTTAGGCAGTGCTTGAAGGAAGTATTTCTCTCTCCATTTTATTAAAGAGTCAACGAGACGCAGAGAGGTTACATGACTTACACCAGGCCACACAGCTATAGAAAAGCCCTCAGACTTCACACCAGGGCTTCTGACTCACTCTGTAATCTAGTCCTCTTTGCTGACATAATTCTGGTTGTTGTGAAGGTTTTTTGGTGGCAATTGTCAATGGTAAACATAATTAGCCTTCAACTCGGATGACTTTTTTCATACTGTGGAAGTAATCAAAGTTTTTGAATAAAGACAAAATAAAAGGGGAGTGGAGTAAAATAAGGACTGTGGCAAAAAAAAAAATAGCATTGGAGGAACACTTGAAATGAGTGGACTGTATGGTGCGTGAATTATACCTCAATAAAGCTGTTAAAAATAAGAAACATTATGGGGCGCCTGGGTGGCGCAGTCGGTTAAGCGTCCGACTTCAGCCAGGTCACGATCTCGCGGTCCGGGAGTTCGAGCCCCGCTTCGGGCTCTGGGCTGATGGCTCGGAGCCTGGAGCCTGTTTCCGATTCTGTGTCTCCCTCTCTCTCTGCCCCTCCCCCGTTCATGCTCTGTCCCTCTCTGTCCCAAAAAATAAATAAACGTTGAAAAAAAAATTAAAAAAAAAAAAAAAAAGAAACATTAAAACAGCACCGGATGAGCAATGAGTTATGTGGCATTTAGAAGTGGTATGATTTTGAGGAAGTTTTACTGGTTGCTCCGTTTCCTTACCTGTAAAATAGGGATGCTATTACCTGCACTGTCTTTGCCAAGGAATTAGGAGAAAATGGAATCTTAAGTGGTGAAACCCATCGTGCTGATATGATGACACTAAAAAGAACCTGAGAATGAAGGAGCTTTATTTATTCATTTCTAGTGACACGTGGACCTCCTAACGTGTGTAAGACAAGATGTCTACCCCAACTCGCAAGCACCTGTTCATGAGGTCATCGCTTCTCAAAATGGTGAGGTCACGAAAATAGCAGCAGCAGGAAGTTCTGGAAAATGCAGATTACGAGAGCTTGTCTCCTCATGCGACAGTTACAACATAATCAGGAGGTTGTGTTCTCCAAAGGAAGGGCTTCCTACTCCGTTGGCACGACAGGTTTGGTAGAGAGTTCTGCTTTACCAGTCACAGGGGCCAAGGAATCAAAATAAACAAAAACGTAGCTTGAGTTCTCCAAGCCTGTAACCGAATCCCTGGTGACCTGTGGTCTACTCATGTTCAAAGGTACACATGCTGTGCCAGACTCAGAAACAGACCTCTTCTGAATTTCCTTCCCATTTTATGAAGGAAATGTAAAATGAAACGCTACTTGTTTTCCCTTTCAGGAGAAAGACCATTTCTTCCTTCCCAGTTCCCGATTTGTGGGTTTCATAGAAATGAAACATTAGTACCAAGGGCTTTATGCGAGCAAAGACAAAACAGGATTTTTCACTGTTTTTAAAAGGCTGAGGTCATTTTTGCCCCAATTCCTCCATAGTGGTAAGCTTTAAAATCAAGCCATTTAGCTCACAGTCAGGTCCTATAAATCAGGGGAAAAAATAAATGGGAAAGCAAGCCAAAACGTAACCATAGTAACACCACAGATGCGTCAAGAAATGGTGTATTCATTTGCTTCATTCCCCATTTCTTAAATTGGAATCTAAGTAAGGGAAAAATTACACAGAGAACAATCATGATTCTGCAATTACTGAATTCTGCAAAACGGCATTCAACCTGCTGTCCTAGAATTTCAGAGGCAGCTATGGTACAGCTACAGAAATAGCCCCGGGTGGTAAGAGTCGAAAAGACCCCAATTGGACACTTAGCAGTGACTTGATCTCCCCACGCATCTGTTTCCTCATCTGTAAGCTGAGAATTAAAAATCCCAACCTCCAGGGGCCCCTGGGTGGGTCAGTTGGTTAAGCACCAGACTTCGGCTCAGGTCATGATCTCGAGGTCCATGAGTTCGAGCTCTGTCGGGCTCTGTGCTGAC